GCGGTCCAGTCGGGTCGGGCGAAAGGGGGGGATAGCAAAGGGGGGGTTTGAGAATCAGCTCACGTAGCTGATTTTCCCGGCGCCTCCCGGCGCCGGAGGCGGCCATGTATCGAGGAATGGGCCCCTCGGTGAGGCCGAAACCAGCTGCATGCAGCAAATTTCGTAACCCCCCCTTTCCCAATCCCCCCCTTTCGCCCGGCCCGATCCAGGACCTTGAGATCGAGGCGCTGCATCTTTTTCGCGCTGGGCGTCTTCGCCCGGCTTCGGGCCCCCACACCATCATCACAGGTCGGTGCGGCGAAAAATATGCAGCAGAAAGATATTTGGTCTGGTGCGACGGCTGCGATGTTCCGCGGCATCGCATGCTGCTTCCGACATCGGATCTCAGGGGAGGTGGTCCAGGACTCCCTGAGAGCCCCCCGAGACGGGCCCAGGAGGGCCCACGGGCCACTCGTCTCAGGGAGCTCTCCGCGCCCTCCCTCCACTCTCGGCGAAGCCCTTTAGATTCCAAATTCGAGCACTTCATGCAGAACGAGCCGGTCCAGTCCACCAGCGAACTGCAGCCGTAGAGCCGTTCATTGGGGCAGTCCTCGGTCATCATCTCCCCTGGTCTTCAATTCATCCCCCTCGTCCTCATGTCTTCTTTCTCCTCGCCCTCCTGACCCCCTCGCCCTCATCTCTCCTCTCTCCTCCTGGTTATCCTACTCATCCTATTATCTGATTCATCCTCATGTGTTCATCCTCCTACTCCTACTCGTCGTCCTACAACTTTTGATCGGACCACCAGAAGTGCCAGTGCGGCGGCCCAATCATCGCGCCAGATACATGCTCACTATGTGTGATCCCGAAGATCAAGCTCCCCAACAGCATCACATATGGAGGGCAGACCATGTCCAAAAAGTGGTGCGTGCCTCAGAGCCCCATACGTTCGTATACGTTCGTCATAAAAGCTTGTGGTGCAAGCTATGTGGTGTAGGCTATGTAATATAAGCTATGCGGTGCAATCAATGTGGTGCAAGCTATGTTGGTGAACGATATGTGATGTAAATTATGCGGTGTAAACTAAGTAGTGGTAAGCTATGTGGTGCAAGCTGTGCGGTGCGATTCGCCACCGTGACCCCTGGCACATTGAGGCGTGGAAGAATGGCTAGGTCTGTTTGGTGGGGGGTTCTGAATTCTAATAATGGGCCTTCCCTTCCCTCTACCCGCGAGGTGCTGTGTGCATCCCCCCTACTCACGGACGCCACTTCCCTCGTGCTCGCCAGAGGATGGTGGCTTTTCAGAATGGCACCTAATGAATGTTCGAACCCCCCTTCCACGCGTGCCCGCTCAAAGATGGTGCACTTCCCGCATGGCAGCTATGCCTGAACCTCCCTTCCACGCGTGCCCGAGCCATGCGCGCCCGCTCGAAGATTACGCACTTCCCGTATGGCTGCTACCTCCTAGACCCCTCACCCCGTATGGCTGCTACCTCCTAGGCCTCCTAAGACACGAGCCTTTGTTAAAAACTGTGGATATGCGCCCCGAGCTTCCAAGAAGGCCGGTGCAGGCAACCAAAAACACCAAACTGGCCCAAGATGCCTCGAAGACGGCCCCAAGTGGCCCCAAGGCGGCCGAATGCTGCTTCAAGACGGCCCAGGGTGCCTCCAAGATGGCCCCAAAGGGCCACAAGAGGACATCACACAAGATCCGAAGACACCAAACTTATTGAGTTACCGCAAGTGTTTGAATCATTTTCGCAATCTCGCCTTTCGGGCTGCCGTCATCTCAAGGCAGCCCACGAGGCGTCCACGACGGCCCAAGAGGCATCCAGAACGGGCCCGTGGGACCCAAGAGTGCTTCAGAAGGCCCTTGCACAACCAACGACAACACCAAGACGGCCCCACGACGGCCAATACGGCAAAGAGGGCCCCATGACGGCCCAAGAGAAACCCAAGCCGAAGCAAGAAGGCCTCAAGACGGCCCAAGATTGCCCCACGGGACCCCAAACTCACAGGAGGCCAACCACTGGACCCTGAAGACTGCCTCACAGAAGGCCAAGACAGCCCCAAGACGAGCGAAACGAGTTTCACCATCATCATCATCATCATCATCACCACCATCATCATGATCAGCATCATCATCATCATCATCATCATCATCATCATCATCATCATCATCACCACAATCATGATCAGCAGCAGCAAAAGCATCATCAGCATCATCATCACCACCATCATCATCATTGCCACCATCATCAACATCAGCAATCCCATCATCACCATCATCGCCACCATCATCAGCGTCAACAACATCATTACAACCAACGATCATCATCAGCATCAACATCATCAGCATCATCACCATGGTAATCACCATCACATGCAACATCATCACCAACATCGTCAGCATCGTCACCAACAATGTCATCACCATCATCATCATCAGCAACATCAAGATCATCATCATCATCATCATCATCATCATCATCATCATCATCATCATCGTCATCACCGTCAACACCGTCAATATCGACATCACCATCATCATCCGCCATCTTTCTCATAATCCTTGTCACGGCCCTCCGAAGCCTGGAGACACGACATGTCACGCGTCACGGTCTCCCGTGCCCCCTCGCAGAAACGACACACACAATGCTGGGCTGGCACGGTGGCGGGGCTTGCAGCAGGCAGCTGGGTAGGTTGTGTACGGACGTTGTGTGGTGTAAGCAGTGTGTAAGCTGAATGGTGCAGACTTTGAAGACACCCATCCAAAGGCTTAGGTCGTCAAAGTGCGGCTCTCACCTAAGATCGGCGCTCATTCGTCTATAAATTTCCGAATGGTCATGAGGATTGCGGGCAGACGGTTTTCGAAACATACTTCTCGCCTCAGCTCCGCAACCGCTCGTCTGAAATATTCCGAGTCACTGAGATGAGGGCCAGCCGTTCTAAAAATGTGGCTCTCGCCTCAGCGCCACTTGCACGCGCCTTAAAATGCCCGGCCAACCACAAGGATGAAGGGCGGCTCCTTTCAATGAACGGCTCTCGCCTGATACTTCCTCATTGGTCACAATTCGATGTGTAAACCAGCAGCCGTACGGCTGGAATGCGGTGTCCTTCTGACGTGGTTCTCTCGCCTGATATTTCACCATGGAGACCCGTGCAACAACTACACTGGTGGAAGGCTCCCCGTTTCCACAACGGGCTCCTCGACAAATCCTTCAACATTCAAGTCCTGCATCTTCGCCTTCGTCCGGCCAACTTATTTTCAAAACCGGAACTCTCGCCCGAATGGCAAGCCCGTGGCGCGCTGGTCTACCAAGGGTGAGCTTCCTGTTGTGACAAGGAATGTATATATATAGTTGGCAACGAATAGTTAGCACAATGTTGCCCCATTGAAACTAGCAAAGGTCTCCAGAATGCGCCATCTCTCGAGTACTCGTGTTTACTCAAGAGGACCATTGTTTGCTAACTATGCGGTCTTGGGGCGCTCTGGAGCCTTGTGGATCCGTCATTGTGTGCTAACGATGGGTCGGGGCCTGGGAGGGGTCTTGGGGCGTTCTGGGGCCGTCTTGAAGCCGCCTTGAGGCGGTCTTGGGCCGTCTGGGAGCGGTCTTGGGCCATTTTGCGGCCGTCTTGGAACTATTTGGGGGCGTCGTGGAGCCTTCGTGGGCCGTCTTCGAGCCGTCTTGGGGCCATCTTGGGGCGCTTTGGGGCAGTCTTGAAGCCGCCTTTGGGAGGTATTCGGCCGTCTGGGGGCGGCGTTCTTGGGCCATGCTGAAACCGTTCTGGGGCTATCGTGGGGCGTCTTGGAGCCTTAGTGGGTCACCTTCGAGCCGTCTTGGGGCCATCTTGGGGCGCTTTGGGCCGCCTGTATGTAGGCCGTATTGGGGCGTTGTGGAGCCGCCATTGTGTGCTAACTCTGGGCCGTGTTTGATTTCTCATCCCTCATCCTTCCGCCTCACCTCCTGGTCCTCTGCTCCCCTGACTCATTTACAGAGAGAGCGCCCTGGGACAGCCCGAGAGGGTCCCAAGAGGGCCCAAGACGCGACGGATCACTCGAACTGCCCTCCTGATCCCTCCGCCCCAAGAGGACCCCCGAGACCACCAGCAGGCGCCCCATAAATTCCCAACGGGGCCCAAGAGACCCATAAGAATGCCCAAGAGGGACCCCCAGAGGCCCCAGACGGCATCGCCCATGGGCGTTTTCCCGCTCCTGGGGGTCGGCGGAATGGCGCAAGCCTCTAGAATGCAGATCTCCCGACGCGTGCTATCCGCGCCTGTTGCCCAGAGGGCTGGAGCAGGAAAAGGCCCCTTTGGGGGCCGTCTTGGGCGCCTCTTGAGCCGTCTTGGGGCTGAGGGCGCCCGCTAGATAGCACTAAATGGCGGCAAGACTTCCCAACCGTCCTCTGGAGGAGGAGGAACAGGAGGAGGAGATGGCGAGATGGCCAAACACCTTGAAACACCTAAGGAAGATCATTGATGTTTGCCTCTCGGGGCTTTCTTGGGGATATTATTGAAGCGACCCGCGGGCCTCTTGGGGTCATCTGGGGACATCTTCGGGAGGAAGGCTCGGATTCTCTGTTCGCGTTCCCCCTCCAGGGCCCCTCTTGGGACCATCTTGGGCGCCTCTTGGGACGCCTTGGGGTCGTCTTGGGCCGTCTTGGAGCTGAGGGCGCCCCTCGTGGGCCCTCCTCTGTCCCTCCCCTCCCTGCACCCTGAAAACACGAGGGTGAATATTTTTAGTGGGTGTGCTTCAGTAAAGAAACTCGAGCGGCATGTCTGTTTGGACAACTTGGCAACGGTCTCGCCCGAAAACTGTTTCAAACAAACACAACTAGCACACAATGCATAATCTCTTTGCTAACTACTCGGTGCCAACCATAGGGACTCGCGAAGGGGGGCGGCCTGGGACGGGAGGGCGTATAGCAGCATCGTTGACGCATCCTGGGTTTACATTATGTGATCTTGTCTTCCTCCCCGTTCTCGGTCATCCCTCATTCCTCTCATCCTTACATTCGCTCCAACTTCCTGGTCTCCTTGTCCCTCTCCCCTCCTGCTCCCCCAACCGCAAAGTCGCTCTTTGGAACAGTCCTTAGTCATCGTGAACTCTTCGCCGCGATCGCTCGGGGGGACCTCAGTGAAGGGAGGAGGCGAAGGATGTAGCAGGAGGGAAGAGGTAATAGGAGACGCGAGGAGAGGGGGGAGGAGGGTAGTACGAAGAGGGGGGGTGTAGGAGAGGGAGCAGGCCAGCATTGGAAGGAAGGTGAAGACGAGGAGGATGGGTAGGAGAGACTGATGAAGACGCGGAGGAGAATAATGAAGACGAGGAAGATGGATACCGGAATGAATCCATCAACCATCACCGATTACGCAACACAGGGGGGAACTAACAGATACCGATACCGCCACTCCCCACAACTCTCCCAGGGTGCGTTCTGACCAGGATTTCGAGGCGAACCCAGCGGTGGCGACGAGGGCCTCCCAGGAGGCCCAGGACGGAGAAAACGAGGCAGGGGCAACGGTATCGAGACCTTTCTCCTTTGAACACGCCCTCCCGCACCCGAGCCGACCCTGCCCCCCAAGCCGAAGTCAGCAACACGTGCTTTTTTTGGCACTCGGCGGGCAAGGACCACCCGAAGGGGGAAGGCCCACCTGCGGGCCTGCCGGACGAAGGGGTCACGGCGTTTGAGGGCACGGAGAGGTGGGACTCTCGGGGCCCCGCCAGAGGAGGTTCGGGGAGAATTGAGGCGGCAGGAAGGAAGTGCGGAGGGCAGACCAAGCCACCCCGACTAGAGTCACGGCGATAGAAACACGGCGGTGACGCTCCCGTACACCCGCCAGAGGTCTGGGGAGAATTCGGGCGGTTGAAGTGCAGAGTCAGCATCAGATCGGGAAATCGGATCGGATCGAAGTGTGTTGGATCGGGCCGCATCGGCCACGGAGTCAAAATCGAGTTGGATCGGCTGCGCTAAGATGCACAACAACGTCACGCAAGCATTGATTTGCATGGTATTGCATTGCTTCGCATGGTATTGATATCGCTTTGCAATACTTTACTCTACATGGCTGTGTATCGCATTGCATTGCTTTGTGATGCTTTGCATTGGGTTGCGTTGCTTTGCACTGCGTCGCATGGCTTCGGATCGCTCAACACCACATGTATTACACCACATCGATTGCCCCACCAAGACTATACCACTCTGACTGCACCGCCTAGAATACAAGAAGCCCTTCTTTTATCGGGTCCAGAATGGCTGACGAGAGGCCCTGGCCCTGGCTCCCGCCCCCGCCCCCGCCTCCGGCCTGGCCCTGGCCTCGGGCCCAGCCCAGCCGCTGGCCCAACCCCTGGCTCTGGCTCCCGCCCCGAGCCCGGCTTCTGGCCCGGTGCCCGGCCCTGGCCCCGTCCTCGGCCCCAGCCCCACTCGGACAGGGGCCCCAGCGGGCCCCAGCCCCCGCTGTCCCCGGCTGCGCCCGCGGCCCCGGCTCCAGACCCCGCGGCCCTGGCCGCCCGGGCCCTGGCCCTGAGCCTGGCTCCTGCCCCAGCCCGCGTCGTTCGCCTTGCCACATTGTCATCGTTGTCAACGGTCGTCGTCGTCCTGGTCGTCGGCCGTCGGTCATCGCTCGCCGTGAATCGTCCATCGTCGTCGTCAGTCGTGCTCGTTGTCGTTGTCATCGGTCCTAGTCGACGATCATCGTCGTCGGTATTTGGTCGACTCTCGTCGTTCGTCGTCGTCTTCGTTGCCAGAGTCTTCGACAGCGTGGGAAACGCCCCAGATCGGCGGCACTGGCCAGAGGCCACCACAATCGCCACTCTGGGCCCACACCGGCTAACATATCAGTACATCTCTTTCTCTCCATGTAGATATAATTCTGTATACATCCCTCTCTCTCCCTCTGTCGATCTGCGTCTCTATGTTGTTTTGTCGAGTTTCAACGTGGTAGATAGAGGGGAAGCTTGAAACTCGATAATCAGATCGTGAAATTCGCCGACCCAACGGGCCAGAGGCGTGCTAAGATCTCCGGTAACTACTAACAATATTTCTAGTTCGCGCGCGCGGGGCGGCCCCTGGGGGCCCCCGGACGAAAAGTACCCCGGCCGATCCCTGGCTGATCCCCGGGCGATCCCCAGGGGGGAGGCAATTTTTCGCCACCCCTCACGAGGAATCGTGGCCTCCGAGGCGGTGGCTGCAATCGACTACCCCCCCTCCTGCCCCAAGGGGCCCCCAAGAGCCCCCCAAGAGGCCCCAGGGGAGCCCAAGACGCCGCCGAGGAGCCCCAAGAGACCCCCAAGAGGCCCCCAAGAGGCCCCTGGGAGGCCCCAAAGAGGCCCCCAAGAGGCTTCAAAGAGGCCCCATAGAGCGCTCGAGGGCCGGCGGAATGAGCGAAGCGATTAAATAAGTACGTCATCCATCCAAACACCAACTTGAAACTCAAAACGTTACGACCAAGAAATTGAGGATGTCCAAGAAGATCAATCTGACGAGAAACACTGGCCATCGATCCTCGCAACTTGTGGACACTTCCAACTTTCAAATCATACGGTGAAGAAGAAATGCCTGGGCAGCCATACCGACATGGCGTGGCTGTGCGACGAATGGGTACTTGCTTGTTGGTTCCAAGGAAGAGGAAGGAGGTGGAAGTGGAAAGGGTAAAGGTGGCAGAGACAGATGATGCGGTGGAGAACGCATATGATAATCATGACGACGGGGATGAGGGAGAGGCAGAGGTGGAGAGGCAGAGGTGAAGAGGCAGATTCCGAAGGTCGCTCGGACCTCTGAGTACTCCAGCGCCGCAAAGGACTCCACGTCTTCGTGGAAGCCCTTGAAGACAATCTCGACGCGCCTTTTCTTCTTCAGCAGGCCCTCCAAACATCTGGCCACCGGGTCGTAGAAATGCGAGCCTGCATTGCCCTGTATACAGTGTGGAGCGCAACCCCCGCCCTTTTCCGTGAAGGAGCAGTGGCCTGCTGGGTGGTAATCGCGCGTGGCCACTACCACCCCGCCCCGCTGCGCCACGAGCTCTGCCAGAGGCACTATCTGGTCGCATATGTCGCCGCCCTCTGGAGCAGCCAAGCGCCCATGGGTGTTCGTCTGGTCTTTCGGCACGAAGTCGTTCTGCATGTCCACGATGATGAGAGCGTCGTCTTTCCCGATCTCCTTTGGGCCCGAGTCGACGAGCGGCCCAAAGTTGGCCGCATGGCAGAGGGACAAATACTCAGCAAAGACTGGAGTGCTCCTCCCATGCATCCCCCATCGGGCTACGTCGGAGACGAGCTCCGGCGAGTATTCCTTGGAGATGAACCCATCAACAGGCGACTTCTTCGGTATGCCCCCTCTGCAACGAGGGTCGAGACTTTTGAGAAGGCTCTTCATCGACGGTGCTTGCTCCGAAACGGCTGAATCCAGAATCCGCCCCCCGTAGCTCGTTGGACAGCACTACAATCCAAACTACTCTCTGGCAATGTTTGTGTACTTTTCTGAGACCCCCTCCCTTGTAGCCCCAACCTCCCGAGCGTTGTCTAGCATCCCTGGCGGTCTCCGAGGCCTCCAAGATGAGCAAGATGGTTGGCAAGACTTCCGAATATTGACTCCAAGAAGCCACATTATGCCGGAAGACGACTCACGGGCCGAACATATGACCCATCTGGCCCAAGAGAGGGTCCAGGCAGCCAGAACCGTGTTAGAACCTAAGAGGGCTCAATTACGTTGATTCCACAACACGTCGAAGAAGTAGTGCATCTGGAATTCTCAACATGTCCCCCTCAAGACGGCCCACTCCCTCCTGCTTCTCCCCAAACCTTTCCTCCAAATCCGACCCATCCTATCACATCATCCTCTTCCCCCGTCCTCCTTCCCGCTCCCTCCTCCTCCACCCTCCTTCCCTCCTTGCCCTCCCCCATCATACCATCCTCCCCCTCCTCCTCCCCCTCTTCTCTCCTCTTCTCTCCTCCTCCTCCTCCTCTTCCTCCTCCTCATCCTGCTCCTTCCCCCCTGAAGCGCGTGTGTGGAGAGAAGTGGCCTGAGTGTCCGGCAAGACCTGCTTTTGCAAATTGGTCGTCTCCTCCGCTCCCGAGGAGCCCGCTGGAAAGAAGAGCAGGGGTTAGGAGGGAAAGGGGGAGGAGGAGGAGGAGGAGGATCGATGTATTTTGCTGGATCTTTCTGGGCCTCAGCAGCCTCCGGAGGCCATCTGGAACCACTGGGGGCCTCCAACAGCATCCAAAGACCAACGTGAACCCCTGAGTGGCAGAGGGCAGGAGGGGGGGAGCCTTCCACTCTTCGCTCTTGGGATGGGGACGATGCGAGAGAGGACGGGGAGGGAGAGGGTCAGAGAAGGGAGGGGGAAGGAGGCAGCAGGAGCGTGATGAGGGAATTCTAAGTGGATGAACAGTGGGCCGCACGGGGCTTTGGGGGGAGGGTGGGTAAAAGAGAGGGAGAGAAACTGGGCGGGGGCACGGAGTGGGAAGAGAAATAGATCGGGGGAGAGATGGCGACGGGGGGAGAGAGGGGCGAGGGGAGGGCAAGGGGGTGAGGGACGGGGAGAAAGAAGATGGAAGGTAAGCAGTGGGAGGGGAGGATGGGGCGAAGGCGAGGGAGAGGGCGAGGAGGACAAAAGGGGAAGAAGAGGAAAAGGAGGATACAAGGGTAGGAAGGCGTGAAAGAACAACAACGAAGAGCGGGATGATTTGAAGTGATACAATTTCGGGGCGACCCCTCAACCTCGTTGGTAGGGCCACTTCCCTGGAGGAGGTTGGTGGAAAGTCCAATGTGGTCCTAAACGATTTGGAAAGATCAACAGGTATGGGCAGGTTGCAAGGAAAGTCCATGGGGGGAAGGGCACATTGCTCTTCCTCCTGCACCCAACTGATATGGAAGAGAAGGGACGGAGAAGCGAGAGGATGACGTACATGGAGAGGAGAAAGAAACGAACGGGAGTGGGAGGAAGGAGGCAGGCGAGAAGAGGAGCGGTGAGATGGGGAGGAGGTTGTGGAGGCGAAGAAGGAGGGCCATATTGAAACCAACCCTCCCGCCACATACTTACCCTCCACGGGATCAACGTGGCGAACGCGGCAGACGCCGGCTGAAAAGGCGAGGGCCCTCTGTGGGCCTGCCTGGAGTGGTGTTCGAAGGGCATGTGAGCGATCATACGCGGCCGCATCAAGGTACACCACCCCGAGCGAAAATCCGGTCTGCGGCTGGCAACGACAAACGAAGAGAAGCGGAGGGAGGGCGGAGGAGGACGAATGCGGTGGACAATGCAATCCATGTCACCCGGCTCCGTACACGAGGACAGAACTCATTCGAATAAGAAAGCACATCATTAAACTGCTCAACCGAGCACGCGGATGGAAAACAACCTTTTTGTATGATCGCCAACCGAAGACAACAAATGACACACAACATCGCTCCCCAAACAATGCGTACACTTTGGTCAAAAGACTGGATGGGTACTCCAGTTGTGCGCCACGTTGCCACCACTGCGGCCTCGTGGGCGCCCCGCGCTCATGGGGTTTGCCGACGTTGCGCCACGTTGCCGCCCGTGACGCCTGGTGGGCGCCTAGTGGGTGTCCCGTGCTCTGAACGACAGAGCTTTGACCACACAGCTTACACCACACAGCTTACACCACACAACTCACGCTGCATAGATTGCACGGAATGGCTTGCATGTCGTAGCGTACACCCCATAGCTTTCAGCTCTAACTCACACCACCTAGCTTACGACACATAGCTTAAACCGTGTAGTGTTCATCTGTCTAGCTTGCACCGCATAACTTACACCATATAGCTCACACCGCTTAACGGTCACCTCCACAGAACACTCACGCACTGAGTGGGGTCCTCGCTGGCTTGCATCTGTGTAATGAGTTTGGGCTCCAGGAAAGCGGTGCCGCAAAACATTGAACACCACAAATGTTTGAACAACTGGCACATTGACGAGTTCCAGGCAGAAAGCACTTGTGGGAATGCTTTGACCAGATCGCCTTCCGATGGGCCACAAAAGAAAACACACTGCTCGTTTCAATGTCTTTACCTCTTAGGCCATTGTGGGGGACACTCCAAGAACTCCACAAGAAGACATCGGAAATGACATCATCATGGGTGTCTGCAGCGACATCGTCATTTCTTGAGCATGCCAGTTCGTCCATTCCCTCAACATTTCCTTTCCGGAGGATGACTAACATACAACGGGGGCTGTTACATCATTGTTATAGGACCCGGAAACATTGCTCATCCAGCGTCTCACTGTTTGGAGGATGTCTCAAGCACACCGCCCGCGTTGGACATGTTGCCCCAGACTGACAACGACGCGCCATTCGGGTGACTCGCCGAAAACCTACTACACAATTCAATGCGCGTTCATGGTCCGCAAGCGAGCCCCTACGGAATAAAGACACCCATGCTCCCCAGGCGACCGAGCGAGCAGTGTGACGGACAAGCCGGCAGGCCTGGTCAGGTTAATCCCACCAGCCATTTGGGCTAAGGCGGTCTAACAAGTTGTTTGCCTCTTCCAAAGACCCTCTTCCCTTCGGGTAGGGGTACCGTCCCCCTCCCCCCCCTGAGGCGCTTTGGGGCGGGTCGCAAGGTGTCAGGGCGCCCAAGATGGCTTCACGAGGGCGTCCGAAGCTCCAAGATGGCCTCCAAGATGGCTCAAGATAGCCGACGATGGCTCAACATAGCTTCCGACATACCTCCAAGAAGGCCATGAGCGGGCCACAAAACGGTTCCAAGTGCCTCCGGAGCCCCCTCAGGACCCCCCCAAGAGAACAAAACCTTTCAAAAATGTTGGGAAATCCAGCGTGTGGTTCCCTTCTCGCCTTTTCGCTTCCGATGCGCTGTTGAAGCCTCAAGATGGCCCAAGAGAAGCCCAAGAGGCCCCAAGAGGCCCCCCAGATGGCCATAAGAGCTGCCAAGAGCGGCCCAAGAGGGCCACAAGAGTCGATTTTGATGGCCCGAGAAAGAGATGGGGGCCTGGGCGGGGGGGGGAGGGGGGGCAAATCGAGGATCCCCCCAATTGATCGATGGCCTCCAAAATTGCACCAATGGTCCCTCCAAGGGTCCCAATTTTACCCCCAAGAGGACTCCAAGAGCGGGGGATCTATAGGGCCCCGAGATCCCCAAAAGGAATACCAAGAGGGCTCCAAGAGACTATTTTGAAGGATCTGTCCCCGTCCTCGCTGTCCTCCTCCTCCTCCTCGTACTCGCCCTTGCCTTTCTTCGCATTCTTTGTGCATTCCCTCCCTTTCCTCGTCTTCGTGGTCGTGGTCGTGTTCTGGTTCCTCCCTCCCCCCCGTCCCTCGCCCCCACGCGGGCCCCAGGGATGGACCGAAGAGGCCCTCCAAAACCGCCCCTGTGCTCCCAGAGATCCCTCTCTTCAGCCTGGTTGCCCGCTCTGTTTCACCACATGTGTCTCTTCGGGCATAGGCATGGTTTCTGGACTGGACGGTGGGGATATTTGATCGCGAGCGCATCGGAAGTGCCGAGCGCCGTCCAAAACTCGTAGCAACCAAGCTACGGCCCAAATTGTGCAAGCGGAAGGGAGAAAGAGGGACAACGAGAGAAGGCTGGTGGGGATACTTTTTGGCCGCAGCCGCAGGCGAAAGCGCCAGCGGCGAGTCGAGTCGGCTCGGGCTACGAGCGGAGCTAATTGCCCTACGCGCGGGGACCGGCGGCCGAAACTAAGCTGCCTAAGCTGCCTAGGCTGCCAGGCGGGGCGAGGGGGAGCCAGGAGGCGGGACAGGGCCCGAAACCTTGTCGGCGGAAGATGCAGACTGCAACCAGGACCAGGATCTGCAACAAGGGCCAGGATCCGAGGGCGGCGCCGATGCACGAATTGAACCAAGGAGCAACACGCATCCAAAATGGCGCGGCAGGGTCACAGACAGCGAGGCTGACAAGCGACCGCCGGCGGCGCGAAGGACATGACGTAGGATAAACCACACGAGACATCTATGCACCCAGCCCGTGAAGGGGGCAGCTCGCTTGGAATACAACCAGGAGGTAATATTGACACCGATGGCCAGGAATGCGTCACTGACCAAGAACCAGTACAAGTGGCGCCACCAAAGTCGCACACTCACTCCTGAGAGAAAAAGATCCGTGGCGATCCCCTCTCCGAGGACGAGAGAAGAGCCAACCAGGAAACGATGGAAGGGATCGACACCGAAACCTGAGCGGATCGGCCACACACCTGATGCTGCCAACCAAGAATGCGATGGACAAGGTCGACAACGAACTCCTGTACGGAAGGGCAGCACGCAGAGAACTGCCAAGTGAAATGCCGATAGCGGGGCTGGGCACCTCACCCAGGACAACTGCATGCGCGTGGCAAGCGCCAGAGACCTGGGAGCGTCCGGCTGGCTGGTGGGGATGCGCGAAGCGCGAAGGAGTATGTCTCTTGCCCATCGAATGCTTCGTATAGTAGTACACCACGGAATGTGCGCACCTCCATGGCCGCCACTTGGCGTCCGGAGGGCCATACGCTGCTTGCTCAGACTGGTAGGACCTCGTTCGCCCGACAGTCCCCAAAGTCTGACGGACCCCTGTACCGACCCTGCCGAGTGCGGCAGCCGTCGGGGCAGACCCTCTGCCCCCTGAGCACAGCCGGGCCCAGTGTCACCCAGAGCTCGAGGCTGCCCCGAAGCGGTGACCACAAGCGCGGCCAGGAAGGTTGCCGCACTGTCCTCCTGTCGTCGCGTGGCTTCCGCAGGAATCCATTGGTCTGCGTGCCCTCCCCAAGAAATGTCCTCCCACCTCCATCGACGTTTCCCTCCCCTCCGTCACGTCCTCCCTCCCCCCTCCTCCGGAATCTTCATGTGTCTCCTCCGCCCCTGCAGCTCACTCCATGCCACCCTCTCAAGATCCTCCTGCGCCCTGTTCGCGTCCCACTTCTCCTCCCCCTCCTCCTCCTCCACCTCCTCCTCCTCCTCCTCGTCCCTCCTCCTCGTCCTCCTCCTCCTCCTCGGCATCCTCCTCACTCCTTCCTCACCCCAACCTTTTCCGCCCTCCCTTCTTTCCCTCATCCTCTGCCCGTCCCACGGCGGGAGCCTCCACAAGTTGCCCGTACTTCTCCTTCAGCCTCGCCGCTGTCTCGCGGAGCCTCGCGGTCCCAGCGCCTCCTGTTTCTGCTCGTCCCTGCTTTCCCTCCTCCCTCCTCCCCCTCCCCCTCCCCCTCCTCCTCCTCCTCCTCCTCCTCCTCCTCCTCCTTTCTCCTCCTTGTCCTTTTCCTCCCCGCCCTCCCTCTCTCCCCCATTCTCCCGCCCTTTTCCCCCCCTCCTCCTTCCCTATCCTCCTCCACATCATGGCTGATGTTTACTAGCCATTTCCTCCGCCTGCTTCTCCATATCATCTTCCTTCGCCTCCCCCTACCCCACTCCTCTGCCTTTTTCCCTTTCTCCCTCCCCCCAGTCATTAATAATCCATTTCTCTCTTTCTTTCTTGCCGTTACCTCTTGGGCTGCGTCGGAACAAACATTCCAGCGCGATATGTTTTTCACGCGACGCGGGTGGGAAACATCGACCGCAGCTGCCACCAGGGCTGGACCCTCCTGCCAAGTCCGCGCGGAGAGACTTCAAGCGCCTGGCTGCAATCTGCTGCGCCACGTCCCTCAACACAATACCAAACCACGGGGAACATCCAATGGCAGCTGGCCCCGTCGCCGTGTATATGCGAAGCCCTGACTGCACGCTTCAAAATTATCATCCTGGCGATCGCCCAGCCACGCTCATCTACTCAAGAATCCTGCAACCCTCCATCCAACGGGACGAAGCTTGCATGTCAGAGGTGCCCTCCCAAGTCCGAATGCTAGAGACGCCTAGGGTATCGACGACCACGCCCAGGCCATGATCAATGATCACTTTGGGGATCCCTGGCACAGAAGCCATCGATGGAAATGTTGCCATGGGCAAACTGCAACCAGACCTGGACGGGCCAAAGGGTATGGCGCTACGATGTCCGCGACCTGCCAGAGCCTGGCTGGTCAAACGTCACCAGGCCCTGCCCACATGGGAGTCCTCCCTGATGAAGCGTCTCCAGGCCCTGCCCACATGGGCATCACCCCCCGCCCCATCAACCTAATGGGGGCAAGCGGTATATGAACACACACACACACACACATTTTTGGGGGCGGACGGTTAAAAACATAGCTCCGCGGGCTTTCGCGCCACCGCAGATAGCGGGGGGCAGGGCAAGCAGACGGAGGGCGGACAATCCCGGGTTGGCTGGAGGCCCGGGGGTCAATTCAGAGCTGGGCAAGCAAAAACTGGGAAGACTTCGCGGGTTGACGATTCGAATCCGCAGGGGCGGACAACTCGAGGACGCGGGGGTTGTTCTTGGCCAGCCCTGAATGGGAAGTAGAAGTTGAGGCCCGGGGGTCAATTCAGAGCTGGGCAAGCAAAAACTGGGAAGACTTCGCGGGTTGACGATTCGAATCCGCAGGGGCGGACAACTCGAGGACGCGGGGGTTGTTCTTGGCCAGCCCTGAATGGGAAGTAGACGTTTCTGATCCACCAATCCTGCGCGGAAGGCAGACATTCTGCGCCGCCTTCAGGCAGCGACCTCCTTCCCCACCTCCTCTTCCTACTTTCCTCCCCCTCCTCCCCCTCCTCCTCCTCTACCTCCTCCTCCTCATCCTTCCCATCGCTTTTCTATCCCTTGTCACCTTCCCCCTGCTAGTTACTGTTCCACTACAACTACTCAATATGAATACTATTCCCCGTTCTCACCTGATGCACTCCGGAAGATTGGCTGTGCCCCTCCGCGATTTGTGTTTTTGATTGCAAACAGGTTTGTCGAGAACCCGTTTCTCATACGTGTTTGTTCAATTGGAACGAGTTCGGCTCCTCCAACCTGTTCTTCCCGCTGTAACGCTGGCCTTATTTTTGGGTTTCCGTTCAGTTCGGTTCCTCCCGCCTGCTGTGTTTCTTATGCAGAGGATTGAGAGGATGTGTTTTCTTGTTTTCGACATGTTGTTCAATCCGAACTTGTTTTGTTCTTCCGACACGTTGCTCCCGCGGCATTGTGGGCCCCATTTCCAAGCTCCAACAGCCGTCCGCGAGGACGACAGCTGGGCCGTCCCCGCGTTGGTTGTAAAGTCGGGGATGACAAAAACTGCATGAACATAAACTGTCGGCGGTCCTCCATGGATTTCCTGGGTCTGCGGTGGGGCCCCCTAGCGGCGCCTCCGGCGCCCCCTCTCCGCAATCCTCCTCCCGCGGCCGCGGGCGATCAAACGAACGCAGGAGGACGAATAGCAAATCTGTTTCCGCGAGGCGGCAAAATAAAACTCACAGGGGGCAGACGATGTTATGTTAAACTTTTAATTGAACATCCGGCGGCTGAATTCTATTAGTCTGCCCCACTCGTTCATGTTGGGCCCCCCCGGGGCGGGAGGGGGGGCATTTTCTCAATCGTTCCCCCCCATCAATTAGATCGGGCCCAGAAGCACCATCGGCTGCTTCGCGCCCACAGGAGTGAGGAGGAAGCCGCATCTAGCGAAGCCAAGCCTCACGCTAGTAGACCAACCGCTCCCGCTGCCAGGAGCAAGCCCAGACAAACCACCCCCGCACGCGCCAACTCGCGAGACCTCTCCGTCGCCCCCTGGCAAAGTTTCTCGAAATCCAACGGTGGAACAAACCGCGGGGCTCACCTACCGAGGGGTAGCCTTAAACATGCACGTCAGACCCCGCGAAGGCGGCGACCCGCAAATAGCATAGGGCGCCCAACGAACAGGCATGAACGCCAGCGCATCCCGCCACGCCTACCACTGAACAGACGCTGACTGCTAGCAGCCAAGATCGACGCACAACCAACAACCGCACAACCCCACAAAGGAGCAAAGGTGCATGCCCCTCGCAACATGGAAGGCCACCGAACTGGAAATAGCGGTTCCCCAAGTTACTCCGACGCAGGAGACGCAGAACTCGCGGCCGAAACTTGAAAGTCGCACGACAGCGGCATCATCGGAACCAGCGCCGAGCAGTTACCAAACGAGCACCAGCTCGATCCTGCAGCGCGCGCGCCGCGCCACCCACCGGGCAGTCAGGGGCGCCCCGGGCCAGGCGCGCCCCCGGATGGCCGTTGCACGACGCGCTCGACAGGCGTCGAACGCATGGCGGGTCTTACCTGCCATGGGGTGTCGCGACCCAGGGGCGCAAGGTCAAAGCCACCCCCCTTCGTGGGTGGGCGCTCGTCAACATTAAACGGGGAGCTAGGCCGCGCCACTGGCGAGCGCCCTGAGGCCGATCGCCAAGTGCCGATCAAACTTGAAGGCGGCAGCCCGCTCCTCTGGCCACGGGGCGTCGAAGTCCGCGCGATCTACCCCGCGCAAGCTGTCGACTCCGAAGAGCACGGGGGCCAGGGCGCCCCGCGTCGCAGGAGGGCCCTGCCCGGACTCCCGGGGGCCTGAGTCTGCCCAAGAGCCGCGCGCGCGCTCAACGAAAGCCCGTTCTGCTCTTGGCGCCCCCTCCGTCGCAAGGGGGCGCGCCGGCAGGCCGCGCGCTGCGACTGGCGTGGCGGTCGGGGACGTGCGAAGAAGACCGCGCAAACAACTGGGTTTGTTATTGCGCCAGAAAAAGCGGCCCCAACGAGCGGACTCAACTGTCGAAGCACACGGACAATCTCGGCCGACCAAGGTCCGAGCGACCCTGGGGGCGTCGGGCCGACGCTGACAGCCGCGCGGCGGGCATGGGACTGCTACTCCCGACAACCTGCTTCCTGCGACAAGCGGTTCACACGGCGCAGGGGCAACGCAAGCCGAGAGCGGAATCACCGCGCGTCGCCCAGGCGCCATTGCCGCGGGGCCCGGAGGAGCAGGGCGCCATCCACGTGAAGTCGTGACTCCCCGAAGCGAAACGCCCCTCAATTCAAGGGGGCCGCCGTTGACAGCGGGCGGCGTTGTCACCGTCTCTCCGGACGTGGCATCGTGGCGAATAGGGGCCACGCCGAAAGGACAATCACGCAGCCTTGAAGGTGCGTGCTCGCGGGCATGACTGAAGTGCTAAGGAGGGCTGCCCCAGCGCAGCGCGCCGCGGGGCTCCTCGCCAAGAGAACCCACGGACAGCATTCGCGGTCGCATGTAACTAGTGCGCGGCCCCGCCACCAAAGTTGCGCGCTGCCCCCGTGCCAGAGGCCCGCGGCCTACCACGGACAAGATAGGCCGAATTGTTCGCGTCCGCCACGCAAGTGTCCAGCGACGCAGACCTGCGTCGCGCCCTCGGAGCCGGCCAAACTGCGCCGCGGAAGGGCGCGGACAGGCCCCAGCGCCAGCTGGCCCAGTGAAGCTCGCGCCGCAGCAGACCAGCCACCCGCCACCAGGCGAGGGCGACGCGGCCAAATGACGAGCGCAACTGACGCCGAGGCAGCCTAGCCACCCGCCATCAGGCGAGGCCGGCATGGCCAAGGGCACCGCCAGCTCACCAACTGGAGAGGACGTTCCGCGCCGCCCGGCGACTGTCGCCCTCTGGGCTCATCTGGCCATGGAGCCTCAAGGCCAGAATCTCTGCCCCGTTCAAGCTGCCTATCCACAACTCACAGCTGGGGGCCAGACGACGCGCGACGCAGGCGGGGCGCGCCCGGAGACGAACAGGGCGCTGGGTCTGCACGCGCGCCGAGGTTCAACGCGCGCCCATTCCGTGCTCATCGCCCTCTCCGTCACCAGGGGGCGCAATAGCAGACGCCCTTATGCGACTGGTGTGACGACGGGGGACATCAGAGCATCGCGCGTTCCACGCAGCAGCACGGAGGCGACCGTGCAAACAACTCTGCGTGTGTTCTCACGCCAGAGCAAGCGGCCCCAATGCGCGCGGATTCAACTGTCAAAACACACTAGCAAACTTGGGCGACCAAGATCCACGCGACCCCAATGGCGTCGGCGTCTCCAGCGGCGCCCAGGCGGGGGCCGACAGCAACGCGGCGGGCCTCGGACCGCTACCCCCGACGAGCTTCCCCCCGTAACGAGTGGTGCATACGGCGCAGGAATGACGCAAACCGATAGCAGAGTCACCAGAGACGGCCCAGGCGACTGTTCTGCAGAGCCTAGGAGAGCACGACGCCAACCACGTCCAGCCGATGGCTCTCCGCGACGAACCGCGCGGCGCACTC